ATTTACATAAACAATCTGCTTAAGTGTAATACTTTGATCATTTGTGAATAGCCATGCTGATGATACAACGGTTGATACCTCGGAAACTACAGATAACCAGAGCCTGATAGCCGACTTAGCTTTAACAGCTTAGTAGAGGGGGGTCACATTCAATGCCTCAAAAGCCAAACTAGTGATTTTCCATCATCACCTAGCGCACATAGAATTTCTTATCGCCATAAACGAATGATTTCTTAGGGAGGCGCCTTGTCTTGAGCGCTTCTTGGGACTTAAGCTCGACCCAAACCTCGGGTAGAACTCACACATGCGACCCCTCGCTAAAGATACTGGAAATGTGTTATGTACTGAAGCGTATATCGCTTCAGTAATTACCTTACCCACCTGCTATTCTCGACCTTAAAAAAAAATGCTGAGCCTACTGAGTAAGCCAATAAACTACATGTGAGTCCAGGGTAAGACAATAAATTATATTCAACAACTGGGTCTTTGATCGGGAGGTTTTGAGGATCGTGAAACCACCTCTTAATTACTGGTGTTACCAGGTCCACACTGACCCGGGGTTGTAGCACCTGTTATGGTCCCAGCTATGGGCAAATGTTGACCCCACAAACTCGGGTTAAGACACTATGTAAGTGTAAAAATAGGTTTTAATACTAGCAGTATTTTTTTGTAAAAAATTATTACTAGCAATGAATTTCGAAGAAAAAAATTATTACCAGCAATATAATATTAACAAAAAAATTACCAGCAGTACATTTTTGGAAAAGAAAATATTACCAGCAGTACAATTTTTGGAAAAAAAAATTACCAGCAATACTTTAAAAATGTTACCGGCAATACATTTAAAAAAATAAAAAATATTACCAGCAATACATTTTTAAAAAATATTACCAGCAATATATTTTTTGAAAAAAATTTTTATTATACTTTGTACCGAGCACTTAAAAAGAAGGATGTGCTAAGAATGCTGGGTTCTTAATCTGGGTGTTTTTTTCTCTTTATATATATATACATATATGATTAATAATTTAGGCAATTGTATAATTTTCATCAGAAAAGCACTGGAAGTCCGTTTCTGGACTCATCAGCAGCACGCATTCTCTAGCGATTCTCAGAATCGAACGCGGACCGCTACGATAGAACGCAAGCATCATACCAATGGGCCAGTGGAAGACGAAGAGCTAAAGATATAACGAGATTCTATATCGCGCGAATAATACTATTCACCGGTGGTCAATATATAAATTACTGGAAATATTTCTAATAAAACCAGAGATTATAAGCCGAAATGCCTATGGTATATTATCATCTGAATATAAATATGTTATGGTGATTTTCTAAAGGTAGCTTAGATGTGGCACAAGGTCAAATGTATGTGGCACCCAGTGAAGATCAAACTCATTATTGTCGTAATTCTTCTAGCGTGACAAGGATGCTAACTATTATATCACGTCGAGGTGCCCCATAATATGTTATGAAAATTTTATCAATATTGTTTGGTTAATATTTGATTTGATTTTGAAAAAAAAAAAACCATTGACATTATAAAATTCATAATAAATGCCTTATAATATCTGGCATACTCTTTCTCTGTCGATTTATCCCAAACCTTCGCCTATCTATATTTACTAACTATATATGAATATATAGCTTTATTTACCAATCTTTAATTCATATATTTTATATGGATAATGTTTTTATGTCACTATTCTTGATAGAAAGACATAAATAGAAAGATTATGACAGATTTTATTCAGCAAGTCATTATTTTCGCAATAAAATAAGTATTAACCAATTACATGAGTTCCACTTCTATTTTCGAGTTGACTTATTAGATAATTCAGATGGGTACATAGAAAAAAATGTATACGTAGATATGTACAATTTCATATGATTTGTTAAATTTAACCGACAAGGTCTGTCTATTTTAATTTTTTTAATTATATTTTCCAGTTTCCTACTTAGACGCTGTACATCGGGACTGGAATTATGAATAAAATATCTAAAGTCCATGTTTTTCCGTGTTCTCGTCTCGCCACAAATTACTTTTTGCATTATCTGTGAACTGCAATTAATTGATGGGGAAAATAGCGGTGTGTTTTCCCATTGATTTCTCCAGGTTTTAAATTCAGTGTTGCCCTTTTCCGGCATTGGATATCACCCAAAGATAGAGACCTTGTCTAATCAGCTATTTAACTTGGAGGGTGAGAGATAGATTCATGCCTTTTCCAAAGATATTAATGTGAATGTGAACGCGAAAGACGAGATCAAAATTTGAACCCGATTAACCGATTCCACTTCTCACGGTAATACTTGTTTCACTACCAGCGAACAATTTTGGAAAATCCAGAGTTATAAAAACTTATAGAATTAGACGGATTGAAAGTCATTATCCAGTATAACAGGTACGTACGCAGACGGAGTCTATGTGCGTATGAATTAAATCAAGATGTTAAATTCAATGAATTTGAAATTTATATATTAGTATGCAAGGCCTGTTTGGAAGCAGAAATATTTGCATTTTTGTTATGGCGCCACTGATCGGCTTTAAACCCCAAATAACATCGATTTTCCGTTTTTCAAGGCTGACAGGCGTTCTTTCACCAAAAAGTTTCTAATACAATTTTCGTCCCACTATCTAACCTCGTTTTAGATTATGTGCTTTAAGTAAAGTATCTTAGTTTGGACACAAACCATAAATTTGGAGCAGCCAGTTAGAGCCAAATTCCCTACGAATGATCTACAAATCTATTATCCTGACCACGATTTGGTGATGATATATAACATGGTTTTTAAAAATCTACAAGTATCAAACTGATGACCGCTGTGTGTTTCCGTTGGTGCTGTTGGTTAGTGATCTAGCTCAGGTAAAGGTTAAGATTTTGAATGCTGATTTTCAAAGGCAGGCAGGCTTTTGCCACTAGAAGATTGACGCAACTCAATCTTCCGACACATAATCTAATTCATTTTGTTTGGGATAAAGCAGAGTTTGGCGAATAGCTACGCAGAGAAGAGCCTTTTGCGAATCTTTCGCCATATTTTTGCACATACAAGAAAAAATTAATATCTAAATTTGCACAACACTGTGTCAGAAACTGAACAGAGGTGCATACATGAGTATATCTGATTTATGCATCTGTTGCAGTAGAAGCCGAAAAGAAGGTTCAAAGTTTGTGTTAAGGATTCACTTGCACAGTGTAAAATTGATATTACCAGTTAAATGCTGGTGTGTGATAGAAGTAGGTGGAAAGATAGTTTGTTTCGATCCCATTGTTTCCAAGACAATGCGAATCTAAAACAGAAAGAACATCCAGAAACGATGGGATTATATATGTTCTGATGTGTCATACTTTATTTGCCAAGGGTCTAGGCAAGTTATCGGCGTAGCCAACCTGTGAGATAATCGACTATGAGACATTCCTTGATATCAATCATCTGCCATGTGAAGAATTGGGAACAGTATGCAAAAGTCGATTTGGCCATAAAAGAGAAGATACAACCGAGAGATCGTTTTGCCAAGGATATGAAAAACAATCAAACTCTGTATAAGAAAGGCGAAGTTCGAGCTGTGGCTCTAGATATCACGAAGGCCTTCGACATGTATTGGTATGCTGACCTTTCACGTAAACTTCAAGGCTACGGTGTCACAGAACGAATGTTTCATTTAATCCAATCGTTCCTATAAAGTCTTGAAATGAAGATTGTATTGAACGGGATCGCTTCGAGATCCTTTCACACAAAGGTTCTATCCTGGATTCTATGCTATTTCTGATCTTCAGCAATGATCTTCTCGATGTCATCAGTTCCCAACTAGGTATCTATGCAGATAACGTTTTCTCCTTTTTCAATTGAAAATCCAACAGATCTGACAAATAATTGTGGCAGCTGCTCTTGAAAAGACCTTCAATCAGTTGTTAACTGGGTAATAAATGCCTTGTGAATTTTAACGCCTGTAAAACAAAACTGATCCCATTTGACCACCATAGAGAACCTTTTTCTGTCTTCCATTTGCAAGCCTGGTGCTAGACTCACACTGCCGCTACTTGGCCTCACGTTTTCCATTGACTTTAAGTGGAGCGACTACATCAAATCAATTGCTGCATCTACTGCAAGGAAGGTTGAACACTGTGCCATACCAGATATTTTTCTCTTCAGAATCCATCTTGCATATTTATAAGTCAACATTTCCTCAGTGTATTTAATACGGTTGCCATATCTCGCCTGGGTCTCCTACTGTACATATCGAAATTCTTGACAAAATCCAAAGAAGAATCTGTAATGTAATCGATTCTGACCAGGGATTTTGATTTCAGTCACTTTCTCACCGATGTGACGTGGCTACCATCTGTTCTTTTTACAAATATTTTCATGGAAACTGCACTGACACCCATTTTTACCTGGTGCCAAAAACTCCATGAATTTAAACGTGCTACTAGTTTGGCATCTAGGTCCCAACCTTTCACTGTTGAAATAGCTAAATGCAACCGCAACTTCTACTCCAGCAGTTTCTTTTCTCACACTTCTCACCTTTGAAATGGCTTTCCACTTACTTGCTTCACTGATAACTAAAATCTTCAAAAATTTAAATGCAACAACAATCGCCAGCTTCTGTCTTCTTGAATCCCATTCATCTTTTGTCCTTTTCTGAATCCTCCCTATTCTCTGTCTTCTCTTTCACTTTCACTCCTTGTAATAACCCCCTGCATACTAGTGGCATTCCCAGCTTACTTGGGGTGAAATTAAAAAACAGTAACTTCCTATTTAAAAGGATATTGCTGGTTTCATAACCAACAATGAGTAATTACATCAAAATCAGCGATGACCAGCGTTGTTGAACGAGTAGACAGCTGTCATGTTACCCGCTTAAATATCCCCGCTTATGGATAAAGAGTTAGGCAGACACTCATTTTTGCTCACTCTGGAGAATCAGAGTCAGAATATTTGGCCACTACATTCGCGGGGGTGGAGACTTGACGAATTTGTTCAATTTCACATTGTTTTGTACAGGTTTGCGGGTAGAGTAAATGTTACCATCGCAAAAAGGGAAATACTTACATTTGAATACCTTTGTAAATGCATGAATCCATCCAATTATGAGTTGAACATCGGATGAGACTGGGATTTCTAGTATTGGGTCACATTAGGTGAAGGATAAGTCTGAACACGAAATTGTGGAGAACGCAGAGAAAATCTACTCCAATATCTTTCCCAAGAAATCATAGCAATTCAAAGCTATCTGAAGTAAAGAAAGCTGTGGTGAGTCATTATCACCTACGTCCAGAAGAACATACAATTAAAAAAAGGTCTTATGCAGAGTTACCATAATGGATCAAATCTTGCTAGCCACCACTCTACGGCAGGTGTCCTTGAGATTTGCATGGATTTCTAAAGCCTGTCTAATCTGATACCAGATGAGGACTGAAATTGCTATATTTGCAATGGACGCTGATTAAGGTGTTCGATAACTTTAAAATAAAGTGGTAAATTTTAGATTTCAACCCTTGTCATGTTATTAAAGGCCGAATTTTTTATAGGCAACCTGGTGATGATTGAACCTACGCTGCAATATTAATGGTCTACTAGACTAGGCTTAACCCACGACGCTGAATCGCCTTCATAAAAAAAAACTCTTTGTTGTTGACTAAGAATATATGAGGATGTATGAAATCGCCTTTTTGTATCGTCTTTATAATCTGTAGCGTTGTGCAAGTGTAATTCTGCATAGATGACTGAATACGTACACATTCGAGTGTGAGAAGAATATATTTACTTCTCTCTCTATGTGAAGAAATATGACAATACATCTCTGAACGAGTGCATATCTCTCTCTTTCTCGCCCTCTCTTTCTCACCCTCTCTCTTTCTCTCTCTCTCTCTCTCTCTCTCTCTCTCTCTCTTTTGTTTGTGTGTGAGTGTCACTTTGTTTTAAATAACCATTAAAATCTCATTGCTTACTTCCTAAAATTATATTTGGCAGGTTCTGCGACTTCCACGTATATCGCTTCCAAATTAGATTCCGTGATGTTGACAAATTGAAACAGAATAAAATCCAAATGTCGGATTCTGTTTATAACAAGGTTTTAATTAACTTAGACTTTAAGAAAAATCTCCTTAAGTTTTTTGTTTTTTTTTACATTCATTAATTTTCCCATTTCATATTACGCACTAGGAGAAATGTGATTTCATTATACTACAATATTTTTAACAAACAAGTAGCGTCAAGCTAATATTTCTGTGAGATATTAAGCTTGTTGACTTTTACTAAATAAACTATATTCTACCAACATTAGTCTTTATAAAAATTTTAATAATATATTAATGACAGTATTAAGAAGATTGTGTATGTGTTTTAGTATATTTTTCTCAGCGTTTATTATTTGTATGCAGAGTTAGTATGTATTGTTAGTATGCAGAGATTTTCTTATTTAAGTTATATATATTTGGACTAATATTTGCTGTTACTAATTAAACTTTTAGGTAATTTTGTTCTGTGCACGTCTTTTGGTCTACCGCCAATGTCGATGAATATCACATCTCATTTATTTACTTTCTTTTGTTTGTGTGTGTGTGTGTGTGTGTGTGAGAGAGAGAGAGAGAGAGAGAGAGTAATGTTACTCAGTTATGATTTGTCCTGTTTCCACAGAGTCTGTCTCTGAGTTTGTACTACGATGCCCAGGTACTAAACTAATAATTATTATGCCACAAAATCACGATTTAATTCTTTAAACTATTGTCTCTTATACGTCATTTTGTTACCTACCTGTTATTCTTCTATACCAGGATACTGAAAATTCCGTGTAAGGAGCGACTATCAAAAATGGAAGTCAAGAAATTGGCAAAGAATGAACACTTATCCTCAAAATGAAGAACACACAGCCGAAATTCCTTGCATACATAACGAGGAAAGTGGGCTTGGAAAATGTCACGCGTCATATTGAGAGCAAGAGATATAAGAGAAATCAGCGAGCCACATAACTGATGATCTTGTGTGGATGAATAGAGAAACTGGGGCGTTAGCCTTAGCAAAGTGAAAAACGTTGTAAGGTCTAGAAGCAATAGGAAGGAAAAGTGATGATCGCTTATACCCCAAAGGGATACGGCATACAGAAGAAAATTTAATAATGCTGCGGCTGTTGTTGGTCCACTTGACCGCCTTCGATGTTGAATTGCTTCTTTTTTTTTCTTGTTGCTTCTGATACCTTGCTGTGAAACTTGACCCCCTCCACCGACGTTTCTTGTCTTTATTTCTCTTTTAAAGTGTTTCCAAATTATTGTTTCTCTTACAAAGGGACATCGCTGTCGGTTAGTTTTTCCTGAGGTCCAGTAAAACAAAGAAATCTGTTTGTTAATTCTATTTATTGAAATCGTCGTAATAACTCTATAACAACTATTCTTACTTGTAAAGAGAGTAAATATTTATTTGGCACGTAATAACACGATTAGAATTAAAGGAAAAATTGCATCAAATCTTTATCTAGTCTAATAGAGAGACGTTCCAAAACTTATGTTTTATTATGCTCAGGTAATGATAGGTGGTGCCACCATATTTATATTAAATAACCCATGCTTATATCAGTATTCATTTGGCATGTGGGGAGTCAATGTGAACACCGGGCATGCTGCTATTTTGCAAAGTGATATGAATTATCAATATTCAGACGGTGCATGATAGCGAGGTGCAAGAAGAATTCTACATTCCGTTTCTGAAAACTGAGGGGACATTTAACCTCCCAAGCCTAATCTGGCTAGAATTATCTTACTGTATGATAGAAGTGACATTGGCTCAAAGCTAAACGCATGCATGATCCTACATCAATCAGTATCAATGAATAGGTATTAAAACGGAATGACCCAACAACTATCCAAAGCCTGTCTAATGCTACGCCGCGTTGTTGCACTTTACCGGGCTGCAGAGCGTCCTATACTATACGAGGTATGTATTCCAATACTCTTGACACATTAGTTTGTAAATAGATACACAAAATCTGGATTTTAACAGTGAAACTCCAACCTAGTCGATTGTGTGCACTTCATGCTATTTCCCTTGGGAAAGATATGAATTCATTTATTATCAAGCCCGGATATAGTTTAAATAATACAGTAAATTGAAGCCTTTAATCTTGACTGACAGACTATCTAAAAAACAGAAAACTCTGAATAGAAAACCGTTGAAAATGCAATGGGAAACGACTCCAATATATTCCCATGAAATCATGACGATTCTCGGATAATAAAGAAAATCGATCTGTAGAGAGTCATAGTTCTTTACGTCCTGAAGAGACATGACTGTGGCAGTGGTTGGCTAGTGCTACCACTAATTAGCATATTTCTAGGAGTAGACGCTATATATAGGCTTGCTGCGTAAGATAGTGGAATGTAGAACCAATAATTACTGAACACAACTGCAACCCTTAATTGGGAAAACATAACAATGTTATTTAAGAAAATATCTCCAGAAAGCTCTTTTTTTCTGGTGGTTTTAAT